GCATCTTGTGTACAGTACATTGAATTTTGCCCGTTTCTAATATCAGACGCAGATTAAGAATGATTGTTCACTCGCAAAGCACATCAAACTCCACTTAATAGTTGTTCAAAGTAAAAATCTGTTACATTTGATAATAATATAAACACTGACACATTCAAAAAATCGAGAACTTATAATAGACAACTTAATATTATGACACTACTGCATCCATTTCCTACGGTCATTTGTCTCCTAACTAAAGCTGGTAACTAATAATCATATGGATACTGCCACGACAAGCCAACCACGAGGCATCTGAAATGTTGACGTGGCGGTCCGTCTTTATAAGAACCTGCTGTTTCACTATTTTAAATGCCACCATTCACTCAGCTCCAAATGTATTACAGCTCAGACCATTTTGAAGACTGTTTGAGGGCTATTCTGAAGACATGGTAATCTCACATTTGCTTCACCAGGAAACACAGGTTATTAGGATTACTGAAGTTACACTACTACTAAAGATTGTGTGGCACGACCTGAAACCTGAAGCAAACACCGAAAACGGAAAAAAATAAAAAAGTTATATAATAAAAATTCTGTGAAGGGCGTGTCAAGCAGCTGGATGACAGCGCTGTTGCTGCCAGGTCCAGCTGTTACACACAAGCTCCGCCCCTCTCCAAGGAGCAGGTCACATGCAGTCAACCACATTGCTGGAACCCTGGCCGACATCCCGAATCTGGCTGACGTGAGCAGCGCATACGGCTACCCCAGAGCCGGCACGGCAGTGTGACACAGAGCCCACCAGCTCCCACCTGAAGAAAAACAAAACATGATGAAACAATGTTTCTAGTCTGTCTGATTCATGAAGTCCTAATATCACCTGGACAACTTTCCCCAAGAAAAAGTATGTTACATGCAAACATTAATAAATGTTTCAACAAATTCAGAAATACGACTGATTGCATCTACTTCAAGCTGACCTCATAACCTTTACCTTATAGAACCTAATGGAAATTTTTTTTAAAAATCAGTGGCTGTAGAGCACGCAACCCTAAAAATGTAAAGCCTTTATCATCTTAAGTTTAATAGCAAACAATAAAGACATGCAGTAGAGCGACCGAAAGAATTCATCAACCTGACCTGTTCATGCGCGGGTCATAGGCCTCCACTGTGTTGAGGTAAATGTTACCGTTGTGCCCCCCCACTGCAAAGACACGGCCCATGACAGTGGCCACACCAACACCGCCTCGGGGGGTGGTCAACTCAGCCACATAATCCCAGCGATGCACTCGAGGGTCAAAGCGCTCCACAGAACTCAAAGGAGAGTTATCATCGAAACCCCCTAGAGCAAATGAAGGAAGAGCAAGATTACCACATCATTAAGACACCGGCACTTGCATTAAACAAAAAAAATATATATAATAATAATTAATAAGTCATAGAGCCCAACACACTAATTAATTGCTAACCCCTTGACCCTGGTAATACATGAAAGTTTTAATATCACATTTTACCAAAACTATTCGAGACAAATAATTTGCTTTGCCAGATTCACTGGAGGGCAATGATGCATGTTTCAGATTTCAGATTATTAATATCTTCAATTGTTTCTAACCTTAATAGCATAACTAAAATGTTCATATGTCACAAATGTTTTCCATTTCATTTAGTTAGCGCGAGAAGCCTAAAAAACACAGCTACTTAACTTTTATCATACCGTGCAAATGAACAGAAACAATTCAACAATATGGTTTAGAGCTGTATAATAAATCTGGTGGATGCAATTAAGAAATGTTGCTTACACTTCATAATCGGTAACTTATTTGCAAGTTTTCCCAGAATGTGTAACTCATATTTTATATGTGCATAGGGATCAACAGTCAGTTTAGACAGCTGGCTGACAGGTAGCTGTATACTTACAGGTAATTATGATCTAAATTATTCCAATCAAACTGATAGCAAGTGACAGCGCTGTCTCAGGCAAACAAGAAGCGGTGCATCGACTTGTTAGGAGCGCAGAAATCTCACCCACGACATAGAGGCATCCGTTGAGCTCGCTGACACCGTTCCCGGCACGTCTCTGACCCATTTCCTTCACCTCTGTCCACTTGTTCAAATGCGGGTCGAACCTCTCCACACTGGAGAGCGAAGCTACGCCGTCATTGCCCCCCACTGCATACACATGGCTCTGCCGATAATCGATACAAACTCTTAGGGCTTCCAATTCCTGACAAAACATCTGCCTAACCGATGCTACAAATTTTGCATTAATTATTCACTTTAACTGTCAATACCGTCAGCTCTCATCTTATGCGGTTTTGAACTCTCAATCCAAAATGCTTAGAAACATAGCAGTCTTTATATAAAAAACTTTTTTAAGCTTCTTAAACGTTTCCACTAGCCTTGATGTCCTCTCCTGGACCCGACACCTTATCGTGGTGGAGGGGTTTGTGTGTTCCAATGATCCCAGGAGCTAAGTTGCCCAGGGCTTTATGCCCCTGGTAGGGTCACCCAAGGCAAACAGGTCCTGGGAGAGGAACCATATGAAGTGCGGCTCACAAGACCCTTAATGATGAACAAAATATTGGATCCACGATTTCCCTTGCCCGGACTCGGGTCACCGGGGCCCCCCTCTGGAGCCAGGTCTGGGGGTGGGGCTCGATGGCGAGCGCCTGGCGAGGCCATGGAGAACGATTTCTGGACCGCTTCGAGGAGATTCTGGTCCACCATCCGGCGTCTCAGGGTGGGAAAGCGGTGCAGCATCAACACTGTTTATGGTGGGGATGGTGCGCTGCTGACCTCAGCTCGGGATGTTGTGGGTCGGTGGAAGGAATACTTCGAAGACCTCCTCAATCCCACCCACACGCCTTCCAATGAGGAAGCAGAGTTTGGGGACTTGGTGGTGGACTCGCCTATCTCTGGGGCAGAGGTCGCTGAGGTGGTTAAAAAGCTCCTCGGTAGCTGGGTCCCGGGGGTGAATGAGATCTGCCCGGAGTTCCTCAAGGCTCTGGATGTTGCTGTCTTGGTTGACACTCATCTGCGGCATCGCGTGGACATCGGGGGAGGTGCCTCTGGATTGGCAGACCGGGGTGGTGGTCCCCATCTTTAAGAAGGGGGACTGGAGGGTGCGTTCCAACTATAGGGGGATCACCCTCCTCAGCCTCCCTGGTAAGGTCTATTCGGGGGTGCTGGAGAGGAGGGTCCGCCGGATAGTCGAACCTCGGATTCAGGAGCAGTAGTGTGGTTTTGCCCTGGCCGTGGAACAGTGGACCAGCTCTATACTCTCGGCAGGGTCCTAGAGGGTGCGTGGGAGTTTGCCCAACCAGTCTACATGTGCTTTGTGGACTTGGAGAAAGTATTCGACCGCGTCCTCGGGGAGTCCTGTGGGGAGTGCTCCGGGAGTATGGGGTGCCGGGCTGCCTTATAAGGGCTGTTCGGTCCCTGTACGACCGGTGTCAGAGCTTGGTCCGCATTGCCGGCAGTAAGTCATACTCGTTCCCGGTGAGGGTTGGACTCTGCCAGGGCTGCCCTTTATCACTGATTCTGTTAATAACCTTTATGGACAGAATTTCTAGGCGTAGCCAGGGTGTTGAGGGTGTCCGGTTTGGTGAACTCAGGATTTGGTCTCTGCTTTTTGCAAAAAAAAAAAAGCTAATTCATGTCACTATTTCTGGTCTCCTTCCATTGAATATTTAGGAGCTCCTATGTGTATGCATGAGCCATTCACACCTGGCCATATAGCGCCCCCCCCTCCCCTTTTATGGCGCTGATGGGAATGTTTCACCGCTGCGTTGTTCATCAAATTACCATGCGAATGCGATTTGAATACGCGGTATTTAGAATGTGAATAGCGATCTTCGGGTGACAGCGGTACTACACGCCCCCGATGCAGGTAAAACAAAGTAAGGTGACATTTAACCTAATTTTAAGAACTTTAATACTTCCAACAATGGACGTTTTGAAAAGAAGAGAGATTACGGATTTAGCCAGCGTTTTTTCATGATTCTACATGAAGATTTCAGCGAGATATAAACTAAAATAGACGCGAAAAGTACGCTGCACTCGAACCCAGAGGGTTAAAATAAAACAGGAAAATGTTAAATACACACTTCTAAGAAATACTAAGTAAAAAGTTGAATGTACGCCCTGGTTTTGGATATCGCGGTGGGCTGTGGAACCAATTAAGCACATAAGATCCAGGAGTACTGCATTTCATTCACAAATTTTATGTGCATCATTGATAACTACATCTCAGAAGTTTACGCAATTTTGGATGGTGGTATGAAAGGAAAAACATTTTAACTGTCACGCAATAGAAACAAAATAATCCTGTTAAAATTAAGTCTAATAGAACAATTTTTCTTGCCCAGTAAAAGACAATTCGGAGACATTCTTCAAACGTAGAGATAATAAATAAAAATAAAACTGCCACTGAGTTTGGCAGGGGACATACCCCTAGGGCTACGGAGCCCACCCCTCCACGGGGGGTGTTCATGGGGGCCACTGCACTCCATCGATCCGCATCAACATCATAGCGCTCGACGTCGTTGAAGCACGAATTGTCATCCAGGCCACCAATGGCATAGATGGGACCCCCGAGAGCAGCAAGAGCAATTCCCCTCCTTCATATAAAACAGGGACAAGTTCAAATTACATTAATGAAACATAAGACAATACTAACTCACCAGATACTTCTCAACTGGCATCACTTTACAATAAGACTACCCTTATAAAGGGTTAAATAGTTTAAAATCAGGCTAATTAGGCAGTAACATTCTGTAACTCATTAATATACAATTTATAAACAAGTTGTAACAGTTTTCTTTTTATTAGTGAGTTACTATCATTTATAAGTGGCAAAAGAGAGCTTTATTGTAAAGTGGTACTTCTAAATTTAATTCCAATGTCTGAATACCGTAATTCTTCCTGTACTACTGCCTGTCTCAAATGTGCCCTCACTTGCCTTTTTGTGTTCATGGATGCTTTCATCATCCATTTGTTGGTAAGTGGGTCAAACACTTCCATGTTACCCAAGTGCTCATTTCCATCATGACCTCCAACAGCGTAAACCTTTCCTGGGGAAGAAATACATATATCCCCTGATTGCAGAACTTGCAGCGTTAGTTAGTTAAGTAATGGCATACACAGAGATGTACAAATAAGACATCGTAAACAGCAGACCCAACACAAAAAAAAAAAAAAAAAAAAAACTGCGACGTTCTGTAAAATTAGGCTAAATCAAGAAAAATGATCATCTATAGCAGCGTTTCCCAATCTGGTCCTTGGGGACCGGCAGACAGACCAGGAAAAACGTGGACTGTCTGGCAGGGAGCTGCGAGGGAGCAAAAACATGGACCGGCTGTGGGTCCCCGAGGATTGGGTTGGAAACACTGATCCATAGCATAAAACAGTGGAGTACAATCATTACTTAAACCTCTGCAGGTTTACTACTGCCTTTGAGTATCATTTACTCCTTCATCCCTACCCCATGCTCACCTCCTACAGAAATGACACCGACATGGCGACGCCGGCTGTTCATCTCCGGCCCAAAGAACCAACAGTTCTTGGTGATGGAGTAACACTCGATGCTACGGAAGGGGTCTCCAGAGCCGCCTCGACCACCCACGCAGAAGAGCACACCTTGGGAATATTCACTCAGCGTTAGAGACCGTCTTTGCTTCCAGTAGGCCATCACTCAACACTCCAGTAGGTCTGGAAGGCATCAAGGTATTACAGTGTACTGCGGTACTTTGAAATTGTCCACTGAGAGTTGCTTTTGAAGATGCTGTCAAAATACCGTATATTGCGCTGTGTCTGGACGGTACAGCCCATGCCTATTCTGCAGCACTAAAAGTGCCTCTGTAGGTACTTAGAGCAGTCATTTTGCAAACAATACAACAACACTTCTAATTACACAATTACAAGGTATTTAAGGAAGACTATGGGTGTGGACCTGGGAGAGTGGGTGGGGCCATTCATTAACCTGAAGCCAATCCCTAATAAAATAAAGCAGTCTTTGTTTCTCACTGCTGACAGCCAAAGCCAGGTAGTACTTCCTTGAAACATGTTTTTTTTTTCTGTGCTAAAGTCAAAATGGCCATCTTTCCCACATATCGCACTCCCCAAAGCCCAGTCTCTATACCGTCCTCCCTTCACATAGGCCCGTTTACTGCCCTGAGTAAAGCAAATATCACACCATTGAAAGAGTCTGCATGCAGAGTGCAAGACCAAAAATGCCACACCAAAAATGGAGAAATGACATTTCCACTGCAGAAATGTCAGGAAAAGCTAGGTCAGTCCCTCGGAAGTGTGACATCATGGACGCGGCCTATGAGCTGCCACCTAACACAGAACGCCACTAACTTTGACCAGAGTTTACACCTTGCTTTTATTAAATTGGGCTCAATTTCTTTGTATTCTATAATATTTGCATATTGGATTGGGCAGCCAGTTGACCTTGGACCCCCAGAAGTTTTTTCCTCCTTAATTAGGAGTTTTTGGTTCCTCTCCTCTGTTGTCTTCTAGCAGTATTTCTGTCCATCTTCCCCTTTTTTCCCTCATTTCAAGCACCATTGTATAAATGATGCAATAATGGATTGCCACACACTCGTGTCAAGTGCTTTGATGCAACTGTGTTACGAAAAGCGCCATATAAAAATGAACTGAATTGAACTGAACAACGTGGCGCTGGCATACAGACTTGTGGAAATAACATTCCGTCTGTGACCCTATATTGCTTAAAGTAGGAGTTATAATCTAATTGACTATCTGTATAAGCCATTCATCTATCCATCTCTTCCACAACCACCTATCCAGTACAGAAAGGTGGAAGCCTCCAGGAAGAACGGGGAACAAAGCAAGGGACACTCAGGGATATAATATTTGCATCCAAGTGTATATTCATAGTTTCAAACAGCAGGAAATCACACACACACACACACACACACTTGACAGTATTAATAAACTAAGAATTATATAATGTGCACGGCAATGTTATTTTTTCAGTCTTACAGCAGAATATTTATGTGGTATCATTTCACCTGCTGTGTGCTTCCTGGACGTAGTGCGGAGTGAATATTCAAAGTCAGGCACGGCCTGGTTGCTCAGATGCAGGTGGTAGTTTCGAGCCTCGTCTAGCAGATCACGGCATTTCAAGTTCGATCTGATCATCTCCTCTTTGGCCACAGTTCCCGTCAGGAAGTCCACAGGCAGCAGTGGAAGACGCACCTGCATTTTACGCAGACATGCCGCTACATGGGTTTTGTTAGAGGAAAAACTGAGGTGACAATTCTCATTTAATGCCCGTCACAAATTTATAATTAAGTTGCACTTTCACCAGTGGTTAGGTACAAGAAACCTACAACCAAAAACTTACTAACTAACACTATACCTTTCATGAGCCATACAATGCGTTATATAAAATTTTTCAATGAACAAGTACAACAACATTGTCACAAATCCTGTGACAATCTCACTCTTGCTGTTATGTTACAATTTATAACCAGTATGAAATATACAGTAAATTTAACCACGGGAACATGAAGAATTTAATTTGTGGTGGAAATACTTCAGCTCAACTGAAAACTAATTAAAAAGTAAAACAGCTACTTGCTGTTGATATTTGAATAGACAGGGGAAAAAATAGGACAAAAACGGAAGAAAAACTGCAATATCAACATTTGATATTAGTCTGAATTCACTTTTACAACGGGATTCATTATCCATGTACTATGAGGAACTCACCTGGGCTAAGATCTGGTCTAGCCAGGTGTCGTGATGCTGCGGGTTGGCTTTCAGCCATTTCACAGCAGCATTATAGACCTGGGTCTCCGACTGGATATTGAGGTCACTGGACGAGAGCAGAGTGCACAGATGCTGCGGCGAGACACAGGGGAAGTCGTCGCACTCTACGACCTCGCAGAAGTGCTCGCACGCGTAACGGTCCGCCATGCCCATCAGGTCCACGCGGTTGTGGCTCTCCGCAAAGGTGCGCACCGCCAGGCAGTTGGAGGGCTGGAAGTGCGCCTTCATGTACTCGCAGCAGGCCCGTGCAACCAGCTCCACCTGCAGGATGCACGCCGCGTACAGCAGCGGCTGCACGTTGTCGACCGTCAATGTCAAACGTGATGAATAGGCGAAGTCCACCAGGTCCTGAATGGCATCCCCATCAAAGTCCCGGATCTCAATAAGCTCCTGCTTGGCCTCGGCCATCTTCGACAAGAACATGGCCCTGAAGTAGGGAATCACGCAAGCCAGCACTAGCTTGTGGCATGGTATTAGTTTGCTGCCCACCTACCAAGAAGGGAACAAAAAAGTAGACAATGGAGGGTGCAACAATTGTGTAAAATAGCTCACTTATATACACTGCCTTGATTCTACAGGAGTTGTTAACCTCTCCTCAACCATTGGTTACTCCAGGCTGCCCAGAGCCATTGCCAGTTCAAAAGATGTAGTCGCAGTAATGTTGCTTCTCACTGTTTTCCAAAGTTTGACAAAACATCACTCAATGTGCATAAACATGCAACTGTGCTGCTGCTGCTAAACACCACGGGAGCATAATTTTACATCGTCAGGGGTTCAGTTTGGGAACAATTTTACATTTGGCTAATGCAAATTTGCAACAGAGTTCATGAAAATAAAACTGCCTACAAGGTGGTTGTAACTGCCTCCGCTGGAAAAGAGACTCGTGCTTGACCTTTGGGAGACCCACAGAAGGAACCAAGCCACGATGCCTGCTGCCTACCTTCAGTGTGACATCACAGAGCTCTCCCGCTGCGTAAAACTGCCGAAGCGAGTTGTGGAACTCCTTCCAGGCCTCATTGGCTTCGAAGATGAATGATCCGTCGGCCTGGCATTCGCTCTCAGAGCTCCTGGGCTGCCGCTTCTCCCTGGGCTTCTGCTGTTTGCCGTGCTCCGGGACCATGTCCCCTGGTGCCATTCCGGTCCAAAGCACTCAGGACCTGCACGGCAACCAAGCCATCAGACAAAAGAAAAAGCCGGAATGACATTAAGGTCACAAAGGACCAACTTAGAAATAGTGCTCTATATAGTATCAAAATAAACAAACTGGAGAAAATTGCTAAATAAGAATAGAAGCCACTGACCACGACAATGACCACAATTTTATATTAATACTCAAAAGGCTGTCTGTCCTTACAAACTGGTTATCCAGTGGAGGGTCATGGGAAGCTTAGAGCCACTTTACACATACATGTATAAAATAGTAGCTAATATTCATTGGTGTAATTTCTATTACCACGTATTCAGTCGCAGTGACCCTGAAGCCGGACCCAAGAAGCAGAAGGTACAAGGCAGGGGACACCTTGGACAGTACGTCACAGGGCTAACACTCAACATACAATCATACAAGATGAGCAATTCAGAGAGATAGACACCTTTCTCTAACCACAGATATTTCAGCTGTAAGAGGCAGCCTGACTAAGGGACTGTAACATCATCTGCAGCGAACATAGCTCGTATTTCATGTTTATGCTCGTTAGCTTAAGTAGGCAGCTAAATCCTTTATTTAAAAAATCATCTATATAACTAAAATAGCGAACTACCTAGCTACATATGGTTACGCTTTAATCTATATTGAGCAGATTTTCATGACTACCAAAAATAAATACGACCGATCTAGCTACTTTTTCCTACCAAGTAGCCAAACCCCTCTATTGCAAAATATATGGCTCCACGCTCAGCTTGCTCAACTTGTATTAGCTGGCTCAGTAACTAGCTGCATACCAGTAGTATCCAACAGCTAGTCAGCTGTCTGGTTAACCTGCCACATTAATGACAGAGTTTTCATCAAAACTTCCCCGATCAAATGAAAGACCGCTACGTAGCTTTCAGTAGACGACATAAAAACATATTTGACGATTAAAAACCGCACGATCTAAATATGCCAGGAAATGGGAAATATCCTCTGATTCTGAACGAAAACGAAAAGACCATCATTATATGGATTTAAACATGAATTAAATTACCTCATCTTTTTATGGGCTCCAACAACGTCACGCACTTCCACTAGGCTGAACAAAAATAACGAGCGTGCGTCAATTGCGTAAGTACACATAATTACCGGAGAGAGGAACTGTGGGAAATGAAGTCCTAAAGGTAATAATAGAAGGGGGGCCCAGTTCGCGCAAGTTATGAAAAACCACTTTAAAATAACACCTTGAATTACACGAATCGCTCATTTTATTTCTAAATTTCATTTTTAATTTTTTTTTTTTAATACGTGAAATTTTAAATAAGCCCACGTTTCCAAAACTCCACTCAGGCGTGAATTGAGAACCCTCTGTTCCATGCTCAAGTTGACTCTCATGCAGTATTTACCTGCAGTTTTATCTGGCTGGGGTCCTGCAGAGAGTGACAGTGGTGGTAGTGATTAAAACAGTTCAAGAAAGTCCCTCTATCAGGGATTAAGTCAGGTTGATAGGTAACATGGTGTTGAAGCAGAGTATGTGATAGCATAATTTGTGATAATAGGCCTGTTAAAGCTTGTACACTTCTGTGATGTACTCAATAATCAGTATGTTTACATGCACACTAAGAGAATCGAATCATTGTGTTAGTCCGACTAAAATCAGACTTTTAAAGTGACAGAAAGCATGGACAAAGTCAGTGTTGCCAACTCACACATCTCGCGTGATACTCATGTTTTCAGACTCTTAGGCTCATGCAAGAAATCTTATGGCAAATCTATATTGTTCTATTATAAAGGTTAAATTAGCTACCTAAAAAGCATTGGGGCTATTTGTAAACCCCACAGACTGTTTACAAGGTTATAAAACTCTAACATTTATGTAAATAAGTGTGCAAACTTGTCTCAAATTGAAAATCTCACACCAGCCAGATGAGCAAATTTGGCAACACTGGACATAATACTGGCAACATGGAAAACAATTGAGCAAAAATCACATCAACATAAGGTTATTTTAGATGCATGAGAATGGTCTGAGCACTGATGTCAAGCTTAAACTTGAAGTGGAAGGAAAAGAGAAACTATTCACAGTCAGATTTGGCTGTTTGGCAAATTCCTCTAAGTGTTTTTGATTTCACCATCTAAAAGTATCTGAAGAAACAGCATCTTGTGAACATGAGGCTCCAGCTCAGTCCTCAGAAATGCTTGGAGTTACCATCAATGAGGTTGTAAGTTCACTCAAGCAAATTTAAAACTTGTATGAGACTGACCTTTTCTTGAAGCGTAAGTTTGATATAGAGAAAACTGCTGGAGGGTTCAAAGATCACCTGGCTGTTCTCTTGTGTGCTAACCTGGACTGGCATAACCTCAAGCCTTGTTGTGCATCATTCTGTGAACCCCAGAGCTTTGAAAGGATATCACCATTCATATCAGCCTGTTTATTGGTGTATGAATATGAATGGATGAATGACAGCTGCCATACTGCAACAGTATGTCAGTTTGGAGTTACATAATGAGCTGGAGTAAGTGTGCACTGATTTCAAACTCCTCATGTTAAAAAGCTGTTCAAGGCCCAGTACTTCAAACACGTTACAACTCTTTTGTTTGTAAAATGGATGTAAGGGCCAAATCACCTAGAGCAGGGGTGGGCAATCTTATCCGCAAAGGGCCGGTGTGTATGCAGGTTTTTGGGAAAACCTTTTGGGTCAGCTGTTCAAACCCAGGTGTGAGGACTCTTCAGCCAATCAGTCCTCTAATTAGTAGCCTAATTAGGGAGTTGCAGCGAAAACCTGCATACACACCGGCCCTTTGCGGATAAGATTGTCCACCTCTGACCTAGAGGGTCCCAGGTCACCCTCTCAGATTCTCCTGGAAAAATCCACAGGTGCTCCTATACCAAATCTATATGAAAAACTCAAATATTAGATCTGTATCTTTAATAGTTTTGAAACTACAGCCCTTTGAAATTTGAATTAATTTTATGCATTTTATTGAACAAGCCTTTTGGTCCAACTTCTGACATTCAGACCTCCTTTGATGTGACATGTAAAGCTTTGAAATTTTGTGACTAGAGTTGACTTTTTCTGTAGAATTAAAAAAAAATCAATCAGATCAGCTGTATCTTATGTACTTTTCCTTCTGCAAGCCTCTAAAAGTTCAAAATGTAACAAAGAATTACTCTGACACTTCTATAACAGTAATACATAAGGTCACCGCATGGCCTAATATGTTACGAATGACAGGGAAAAACTGAGTGCTTTATGTAGGATACCATGTGAGTGAGAAGCTCTCAAACGGAGCGTCGCTGTGAATTTTCAGCAATTTTCAGAGCTTTTCTTTTGGAAAAAAAAACTTCCTTTTAATTTTATTTTTTAAACTTTACATTTTAATTTTAAATTAAAAGCAAAAAACTCCCAGGCTGTACAACTTGTAAGGTGATGCATACAGAGTTGTCAAGTTTGGTCAGCCGGGTGGCGTGAGATTTTCAAATCAAGATGAGTATGTACACACATTTACATGTATGTTAGATTTCTATTACCTTGTGAATAGTCTGTAAGGTTTGCAAAGTCCCACAAATGCTTTTGATGTAGCTAATTTTAGGTTTATAATGGAATAATATAGATTTTCTGTAAGATTTCTTGCGTGAGCGTATGTCTGAGTGTGAGTGTCATGCCAGATGTGTGCGAGATAGCATCTCTGTGTGCATGACATTGGAAAGCATTCTTCACACCCCATAACTTTCCCTTAGAGGTCTCTTGATATGATACTATGTGTCTCACTCAGATACACAAAATGGTATTGTTTTTTCTTTGAGTTCTTAAAAAAGCTATTCAAAATAGGATGGAAGTCAAAATTGCAGTGGAATGTAGATAATATTTACCATTATTTTCTGTGAAGAAAAATTGTCTGACAACCTTCTATATCTCCCAGACAGGTTTTCATTCATCCATCTGCCGTGACTGCTTATCCAGTAGAACATCACGGAGAGCCTATCCCATAATGCATTGGGCACAAGGCAGACCTTGATATGAATTCCATATATACAGTTGTTAAGCATTCTCAATATGTATTTTATACTATATTCCACAGGATTTCAGCACACGGTACTATATGAGATGTCTATTTGGACAAATATACTATAAATACTAATAGTGAGCACAGAAATTGGTGAAAACCCATTCTACTTTTGACTGAGCAGCAGTGTTTTTAACTGCATATTACCTACAGTTCTGACTGTTGGCTATAGATTCTGGTCTTTTTATGTTATTCTCACAACACAACACTGATCTGTTTAGTTAGGAGACTTTCACTTCTCATTACTGAAATCAGCCCTTGTTTGTGTAAACCAGGTTACAACAGATAGAAAGTTATTGCCACACACATTATAAATCTGAAAATGCGGAAGCTGGAAAACAGGCTGAAGGGGGCTCAGTATAGCAGTGGCTGTGGTGGAATGACGCCGTGACATAAAAGACACCTTATGACGATGGAAATACGGATGACGATTACTGACATAGGATTTATATCACAAGGCAAGATCAATGGGTTAGCCGGCTCACAATTAAAGTGGTTCTTCACTGGATATGTCATTAAGGAAAAAGACTCTGCAAGACAAACCTGCTCCGGAGCAGGTTTTGTTGGAAACAAAGAGAAAACCATATATAAAATCCGCCTCCTGGCCAATCAGATCTCTTGGAAACATGCTGTCACCTTCTGTAGATTCTGTGGGTGTGGTGCATTGTAAGAAGAACCCTGCAAAGAGCTCAATTCCTTAGAAACAGGTTTTTTATTTTTGATTGTGATGTTGGTTCTGTGAATTTCATTCTGAACCTTATTATTCTGGTAAGCAAAATTCCTTGCACACAAAGCCAAATATAAAGAAAATTTAAATAATGTTAGAAAGTCTTTCTAATATAGTGAATTAAATGCATTTGTAACAAGACATGTTTTTAATTTCTGTTGTAGTTCTACTTATTTTACTTTTTAATATTGATGTCTTACACTGTAAATCTCATATATATATATGATAATACTGCATATTACTTATATATACATATATACAGACACTGCTTTACTTACAAACTTTCAACTTATGAACTTATAAACATACGAACGAAGAGGACTATAAGTCCAAATTGTGTTAATTGGGCTCCTGTTTCCTGTCCGCAACATCAATTTTTTTTCTACGCACCAATTCCGCCTAGTACGACTTCTGCCCGCTACTCCCACCGCAAAGCAGCATAGCGTACGAACTCCCAGCATCCTAGTTCTTAGTACTTGCATTTACCCTTAAAATGATGTTGAATAATGACTTACGAACATTTCTAGTTACAAACGGCTGTTCGGAACGTATCTCATTCGTAAGTAGAGGAGCGTCTGTGTTTATCTCTTGATTCAAGGATTAAGTACTGCTGGGTGAAGGTGTGAATGAGAAAGAATTAGAACAAGTCAACTGATTATGTAATACTTCATGCCAAAAAGGATTAAGGTGTAATCTCATCCTCTGACTTTGTTATTCTGCACACAAATTACTGTTTAGCAGAATGTTTTAAACTGCTGAAGGGGTTAGAGGTGGTTTTCCAGTGCTAGAGGAAGTGCTTTGCAGGTGAAAGTGGTTTCCCTTACATAGGAAATATGTCAGGAGGAAGTATGAGAATTGGGACAGACTATTCTTCAATGTGGATACTCTAATTTCATGGAAACATTCATGGAACCCTGTAAAAAGATTTACTGGACTGAGATGTAAATGGATATGAAAGATTATCATATATATCACACTAAGTGCAGAGTCACAGCAAGTAGAGCTACCACACAATCCCACTGTTGAATATGCTACTTGAACACACTCGAGTGGATACTGTATGTTCTATGGAGATAAGTTAATCAAGAAACCAAATTTTGTTCTCTTTGGTTTTGCAACTAGACACCCTGAGGTGTTTCCAGAGGTTATGGCTGGGTAATCGCTATAGATGCTTTTACTGACTGTGGTCCCAACCTTTATGAGTTTCATTCTTAACCAAGGTTATGGGCTGTTAGATATTAAGAGAATAAGAACCACTCTTTACACATCCCCAGGTTGTTGGTGTGGTTATACATTTTAATCAAACATTTAATCGTATGTTGTC